ATATTTCAATTCAACACTTTGTTACTGGTTTTGCCTGTCTGGTCAAAAAACAAGCTTAGTCAACTCAGCTAGGTATTTCTACAATTAATAGAACATAAAATCAATGATAGAAAAGATAACTTGAATTGGGGAGAGTATTATTATGTTCTTTGCCTTAAACTCATTTACAATTGAGGAAATGAAATCGCATGAGTACATATTCGATGGTGGTTATATAACATCTATTTTACCGCTTTGTAAAACATTGAAAATGTATAATTTTTTAAAGAATGTATAGAGGAAACACTTTTTAAAACTGAAGTGAACATATATGTTTAGGAGTATATATACACGGTATATATAGTGTATATGTTCACTGGTACTAAAACGTAATACAGTTATTAAATATGTTTTAATATCTTTTCTTAGAAACACTTTTTGATTTATTTTGGTAAAGTCTGAAATTATTATACCTTTAAAAATTGGTTCCGATTTAAATTTTAACTCTAAAAAAATCTAACATTTCAAATACTTTCCTAAGTGATCATTAAAAAAATTCGATGTTTGACAGCAGAGTAAGATATAATAACTTGTCTACAAGATATAGGACCGCTTACGTCATATCGTTGGCGTGATCAGTTAAATCCTTCTTTTGCACTTGTTGGTGTTCGACAGAATTGGTCGAATGTAAACGCAGTGAAGGTATCATGGAAGCCAGTACAAAATACTTACATGTTTGTTTATTAAAAAAAATTACAGGTTTAATATTTATTGACTGTGTTCCTGCATGGGTGATATGCCTTTTCCCGACCCCTTGAGCCAAGCTCATTGACTTCGGCCTTACAGTCTTAGCTTGGTTCTTGGGCCCCGACAAAACGCATGATGCCCTAGGACTCGGTCAATAAATATTTTTTTGATTTAAGCATTGAGGAAATGTCACTCATGTGGAGATGCTAATAGTTCTGCTTCCTGTGATACAAGAACAATCTACCTGGGAAATTTACAAAGCTGCAAATCGGGTGAGGATTTTTGCATGACTGACATTGTCCATGACGGATCGCCATATCCGAAAACTTATAAAAGGTAATAAATCCGAGAGTTTCATAAAATAAATTCCAATATTGTCATTTTAATTATATACTTAGAAGAAATACATTTAATTTATGTTATTACCTAATATGTTACTTCAAAAGAAGTGAGAGATGTTATTATGATACGTGAATACTATTCTAGGTGTGTGACGGAGGAGGAGTGTCGAAACAAGTGGCTCCACCAGACGTCAGATCTGGAATACTGCATCAACTACGGCAATGTCCCAATGACGGGACAATACAGTTGTCACTTCTGTTGTATAACAGACGGATGTAACGCGGGACAGGTTCCGGATAAATCTACCTTTTATTCTAAGGCTTAATTGTCTGAATATCTCTCAACCTTCGAGCATAAAAATGACGTGTATTTACGAAACGACAGAATAATAAAACAGTTTGCAGGAATAATGCACCTTGTTCTGATATGAAACTTATTGGGCAGTCCTTTTTTTATTTACTTTATTATTTAATTTTTCTTTGTACATATTTGTTTCTATGTTATTTTGTTATCCCAAACACCGTATACAACGATTAACGCGGAGGAGTCGCTAAAAAAGTATATGGGAGTCGTTTTCAGCGTATGGGGAAGTAGATTTTCTTCGGAGTCAGAAGCGATGTAGGTCAGGTCTTTTTTCGCTTTTCACTTTTGCAGTGGTAATGAAGGGATTTTCAAAGACACATGTATATTTCAAATTAGCAATATTAACTTGTAATTGTTCTCCCAATTTCTGGTGGTGGTGGAGTGAGGGGTGATTATCTAAAAATTGCCACCAATGCTATAGAAATAGAAATTGGTATATTTCCGAAAATTTGAAATGTCAACTTTTTAGCTCACCTGAGCTGAAAGCTCAAGTGAGCTTTTCTGATCCCATTTTGTCCGGCGTCCGTCTGTCTAGCTGTCCCTCTGTCTGTCCGTCTGTCTGTCTGTCTGTAAACTTTTCACATTTTCGACTTCTTCTCAAGAACTGCTGGGCCAATTTCAACCAAACTTGCCACAAAGTATCCTTGGGTGAAGGGAATTCAAGTTTGTTCAAATGGAGGGCCACGCCCTCATTCAAGGGGAGATAATGGGGAATTAATGAAAATTTGGTGGTATATTTTAAAAATCTTCTTCTCAAGAACCACTGTGCCAGGAAAGATGAAACTTATGGGGAAACATCCTCAGGTAGTGTAAATTCAAGTTTGTTCAAATCATTACCCCCGGGGGTAGGGCGGGGCCAAAATGGCCGACCTAAATTTTACATAGAAATATATAGGAAAATTCTTTAAAAATCTTCTTCTCAAGAATGAAAAAGCCATAATCCATCATATTTATATGGAAGCATGCTCAGGTAGTGTAGATTTAAGTTTGTTCAAATCATGACCCCCGGGGGTAGGACGGGGCCAAAATAGCCGACCTAAGTTTTACATAGAAATATATAGGAAAATTCTTTAAAAATCTTCTTCCCAAGAATGACAAAGCCATAATTCATCATATTTATGTGGAAGCATGCTCAGGTAGTGTAGATTCAAGTTTGTTCAAATCATGACCCCCGGGGGTAGGGTGGGGCCAAAATGGCTGATCAAAGTTTTACATAGAAATATGTAGGAAAATTCTTTAAAAATCTTCTTCTCAAGAATGACAAAGACATAATTCATCATATTTATATGGAAGCATGTTCAGGTAGTGTAGATTCAAGTTTGTTCAATTCATGACCCTCAGGGGTAGGGCGGGGCCAAAATAGCCGACCAAAGTTTTACATAGAAATATATAGGAAAATTCTTTAAAAACTCTTCTTCTCAAGAATGACAAAGCAATAATTCATCATATTTATATGGAAGCATGCTCAGGTAGTGTAGATTCAAGTTTATTCAAATCATGACCCCGGGGGTAGGGCGGGCCCAAGATGGCCGACCAAAGTTTTACATAGAAATATATAGGAAAATTCTTTAAAAATCTTCTTCTCAAGAATGACAAAGCCATAATTCATCATATATATATGGAAGCATACTCAGGTAGTGTAGTTTCAAGTTTGTTCAAATCATGACCTCCCGGGGTAGGACGGGGCCAAAATGGCCGACCAAAGTTTTTAAAGATATATATAGGAAAATTCTTTAAAAATCATTTTCTAAAAAATAGCAAATCCATGATTGGTCATGGGACTACTTTTGGATTTAAACTTTACAATAAAAAGCCATTTTTTACTTTTCCCTACCCTTAGTGCTCAGGTGAGCGATGTGGCCCATGGGCCTTTTGTTCTAGTTGGTGAATATGCTTTCGTGTTCGAGACAACACAGTTTTGCCTGTATGCGAAAGGTTCTTGCATTCAAATTTTCTATATTACAAAATGAAACAAAAAGAAAATTCAAATTTTTATTAGAATAGTATTAATGACCTTAATTTCAGAATGTTTTATTGAAATCTTTTAATTCTATATACATGTAATCTAATGTTTTATTTTAAATTTTTAACTGTAATGTTTATAACTTTTTTTCATTCGAAGTTAAAGTATGTTGTGTTTAAAACTTTGTTCTAAAGAAAACTTGAGGATTTCTTGAATTCATAAAATGAGGAACTGGAGGAGAAAGTTCTTGCAAAAATAAAATATAGGTATACAACTCCGTTAAGATTAACATTCTTTTTTAATTCTATGGTCGGTCATTTTTATAACTTTGTTAAAAAATACTACATCATTTGGTCGTATTTTGGCTATTATGTTTCATAGGATGTTAGGCCTTTGCTTTACTGTGTAATTTAACTGTTCAGTCTACCTGATTAATACATAGAACTCATGGTAGATGTCACCGATCAACGGGGAGTCTTACTCCTTTTAGGCACCTGATGCCACCTCTTGAATTTCCCGATATCCGTATTTATTCCTTGTTCACATTTTTGTTTATGTGTTGAGATCGATTTCTGAATGCAATCTGTACTGTTTTTATTGTTTTTAAAAATATATTCATCTGTAACAAAAATTCATCACTTGTTCAGATCCATACATTTGAAAAATCATAGACCTACATGTAATAGATTCATAAAACTAAAAGGCAAACAATATCCTTCAAATTAAGAAACTTTTTTTTTTTTAGATTTTTACAGCTACCCTTTTTCAAAAATTGAACAAGAAGAGAACGTACCCCAGTTCGTTATAGTATAATATATACATATAATATATGTTGATTGTTTTGCACTGAAGACAAAATAATTAAATGACATGAATTCATCGGAAGATAAGATGGCCAACTAGAATTTATCGTGCATTTGTCTCAAAAGAAAAAGATAAGTATTCCACACCTCATTACATCATATGCATAATGATAAATTCCAAACTTCTAGAATTACATTGACATAAAACTTGTTCGCCCCAGTTTTATAGATTTGTTATCTTTAATAGTCATGTCTTACATTGTGTTTTTCACGCGCGAGGTTCTCATCAGATATCAACAATGATTTAAGAGGTCTTCCATCAATTAAGGATATTTAAATGATATACATTAACTGGTTTGCTTACGTCATAGCTAAACCATGATGATGGTCATTACAGTTTTATTAAATTGATCTAATGGTTCTAATGTCTTTTTGTTTCTGTCTCTGTAGATATAGTTTTTTTAGATGGTTTGATCTGGAGTTGCGGAATAAGGTTTTTTTTCTTTTCAAGTAGTGGATTTATAGGACTCATGTGTACATAGACGTTGAGATGCTGGCACAAAAAAAATTCCTAACTGCTCAAAAGACCTAGATCTTAGGTCTGAGTATCCAGTACAGTTCTCAATTTTGCAGCCCTTGCTAGTGGCGTTGTCTTAATATGAATAAAAACTCAATGGGTGTTAAACAAACGAACTTTGAGGTTTTAATGTCTATACTTTCAAGAAATACCGTTAATGATGCTGTTTGCTTTTTTTTTATTTTGAGCCAGAGCAAAATATTTCTCAGATAGGATTATTGTGAAACATGGATGACCCCTCTTTAATTCCTAATGCTGAGTACAACAATGAAGTTGGTCTAGGTCTAATATTGATATCAAGGTTATGGTTTTACCATTTCTCTAATAGCTTTAACAAAATGTTTATTTTTTTTTCATACAATATGATGTGAATGATTTTTACAATTATAGTGTTTTGAAGAATTATATTGGAAATACGTGCCTATGGTCAACCTATTTTTTTTTAGGGAGACCAACTTGTCTCTAAATAGTTTGAAAGTTAGGAACTTACGTCCTTTTAAAGTTTTTATCATACCAATGCAAGAAGAGTTAATATGCACTTAACAATTTATGTAGGGGAGTTTCTTCCGTCTTTTTAGGAAATTCTGTAGTAAAAGTAATTTAAATATTTTCCTTCACGCTAAGATAGCAAGGACAATGAGATAAAGAATGTTACAATTCATCAGACAAAATCCAAACACTTTTAGACAGAAACGATCAGTAGCAATTCCAATATCACGCCATGTTAAAATTTCAGTCACAGGATCCAGCGTTACATCTTTGACGGTGTCTCCCTCGTCAAAGTGCACCTTCCGCTTTCTCCTGTAGCAAAAGCAATCACAGAGGGAAATTCTGTGAAAAGTCTGTAAGTAATTTGGAATGGGCTTATCCTCCTCTCTCTGATAGAAACGTAGTCCAATGACAACGCCTACCACCATAAAAACACCGACCATGAAGTCGCCCAAAAGTTTGTAGCTAAGGAACGATACACTAGGTTCTGATCCCTCTGGAAGTTTATCTTGAACTAGAGTAAGATATACAGCGATTGCTAGAAGTACGGTCACAACAAAACCTACACGTTCGCCACAGTCGGGTGGCATAAGAAATACACATAGTTGGAGAAACGAAAGGAAAGCAACGGGGAGAATTAAGCTAGATATATAGTAAACCGGTCTTCTTCTCATAGTGATGGCCATTCGCGCCTCCTGGAGAAGAAGAGTATTTGTGAAAGTAAATAGTTTTGTTTCAGTCACCTTCCAAAGACTGTTTGCACTAAATTCCGACATATACATCTGCTCGCTTATCATGAAAACTATTTCGGAGGGCAAATATCCTGGTATAAAGAATCTCAGGGTACAAGTCTGAGTATCAAATGGGTAATAAGATAAATCAGCATCACACGTACTCTCAAAAAGATTTGGCGTTACCCAGTTCACCTGTCCATCTTTCTCCACCCTAACATTCATATTCTGATGCCCAATTTCACTAAGGGAGTTATAGTCCAGCATATTGACGAGATATGGAATCCATAATTTCTTCTGAGGCACAACAGTGACCTCTATCCCCCCATAGTTTGTCGGATCCCATGTTAACCGATCGTCAATCCATGAAACAGCTAGACCGCCGGTAATGGAGAACTTGCTTATAGTCTCGTCAAACTCCTTGATGCTGAATAAGTAAAACGTAACGTTTATTTGTAGAGGATTTGTCCTATCCGTTCCTGGTCTAACGTGAGGATCGTAGGTTGTTGGAAATAGAGCCGTGTGTAGACTTAGTTCGTTTTGTATTGTGTACGTCCGAGACCTTGGCAAAACACAAGCAATAGAAACAACAGCGAATACTAGCCTCACTTTCCACATATTTTGGAATAACCTATTCTCCGCTAATAACGCTACTTCTTAAACGTTGTGCTCTTGGTTTATATTTTATATTCTGTTGAAGAAATATTTAAAACAGTACAATGTTTTAGGTTGTTGTTTAAAATGTGTTAAAAATTCTGTTGATCGTTTGGTTCAGATTATGTCATTTAATTATCATTGAATGCATAATTAAGACAAGATCAAGAAGGATTTACAAATGTAAAATGCCACAAAGGAGACCCGACTTCAAGCGTGATTATTTGAAGACAAATCTTTTATGGAACCTGCTGTTTAAAGTTCATATTCAGTTTTGTAATAAGAAATAAATACCTCTACTAAGATCTAAAGTACGTTTGAATTATTTATAAAAATTAAGATAATTTGTGATTTTTCTTTTTTTAACCATTTAATTGAATTATTCTTTAGATGATATTGTCCCCAGTCATCGCCAAAAGTATTTTTGAGATATGTGAATTTTTATTGAATTTTACACAGCATATCCAAAAAGTAAAGTGGGCGACGGTTAAGGACACTATTTTCTGAAGGAAAATTACCCTTGAAATCGGTTATATTGAAGATTTCCTGTTTAAAATATAGAAATACATCGAATTTATGGCGTCACACATCCAGAATGGTACCCCCCCATTCCATATTCTTTCCTGATCTATTAAAGGCAATAACTCAACTAATATTTGAGTTAGTCTCAAAACTTTTTTGAAAACAATATCAAAGGCACAATAAAGCTAAAATCGTATATTCTTTTTAAAAAGAACTAAGCATCACAAAAATAATTCATATTATAATGATCAGTGTGATAGGCGATAGCACTCTCAAATTCAAATCTAAATTGGAATGATGTCTTGCAATGAAATTTATAATTTCGAATGTTTGATTTTCAGAAATTCAAGTATAAGGATTGTGTACCATGCAACCGTCTGTTTAAGCATGAGAAAAGTTGTAATTCATCTTTTAATGTGCTTTCAAGCATGACACCTTCCCTTAATTAAAATACAGAAGAATAACAGTTTTGAATGAATATCATGCGTTACTTTTTTTATCTTAAGTGCAATAACTTCAGATTTGCTTTGCACTTTATGTTTAAAAGAGCGGAAACGACCTATAATTGATACGATTTTGAAATGTATTTTCGGATTTTTTTTCACCTGATGAATGGTTAACCCTCTGAATATTCTCATCGGCTATGAATTATATTATTTTGAAACTGATTTTCCTCTACGGAATAACTTACTTTGTCGTGTCCAGTAAACAATATGAATTTCGTATAGCTTGGATGGCTCCGAGTCAGGAATACTATAACATAAGCGCTTCCTCAAGTGTCGGGGCATTTAAAATTGCCTTAACTGCCATAAGTCAAACCCCTGATTCATCGGAAGCAAAACTCCAGAATTCCACAATAAAGTAACTTGTAATTTAAGACTTCTTCCCATCTAATAATGTATGCTTTTTATCTTTTGCCAAAAGGTACATCTGTTCAGTAATTAGCAGCATATAAAATGTAAGGCCTTAATGTGGATCGACAGTTACAATACCATGAATTGTATTTGACAAATTTAGAGGGATCGCAAAATATTATTTACATGTCAAATTACACAAAGAGTGTAATTCTTAGTCTTATTATGTTTATTTGCTTTCTTTTGGTGTTATTTTCAAGATGCTATTTCTTTCCATATCTTTGACATACATGTACCCTTGTACATGATAGTTTTTTATTCTTCCAGAGTAAAGTGGTACGATACAAACTGCAACGAAAAGACGGCCCTGGGTGTTGTTTTAGAAGCAAGAGAAACATTTAATCCTAATATCTTTTTTGGACCACCATGCCCTGCTAGTAAGTCTCTCTCTCTCTCTCTCTCTCTCTCTCTCTCTCTCTCTCTCTCTCTCTCTCTCTCTCTCTCTCTCTCTCTCTGTGTGTGTGTGTGTGTGTGAGGGTGTGTGTGTGTATGCGTGGTACTGATGAACTCTTAATTGTACCTGGAAGACCCTCTCAAAGGAAATTACGAAGATAAAAGCATTTGACAATACAGTGGAGTGGAGTGAATAACATTGGCAGTTGCATGTATTTGTAAGATACGGTTTCAACAATATGCAAAGAATACCAATGTTTCTTCAGTTTTTTTTAAATTTATATATATTTGAGGTCTTAGAGGAGTTGCTCTATTAGCGGCACACTGGAATATACCAATATTTGACTGGGCATCACAAGGGAACGAATTTCAAGATCGGAAGAAGTATTCAACTTTGGTACGCTTCCTGGGACCTCTATCTCGCTTTCGTAAGTATAAAACTCCATAATTACTGTAAAAGCCATATATTCGTTGGGGGTTAAATTTCGTTTACTAGTATATCGTTGTTAAAAATTATCATTGAAATTAAATCCCACAGGAAATTTCATATGACTATATTTATATATTTATTCACCAATCAAGGGCCCTCTGGGGGGCATATACAATTAAGAAACAAACAATATATAATCATTATTATAACAGTGCAAAATTGACATGATCCTCAATTGAAAAAGTTCTCAGATTTGAAATACTGATTTACAGGGTAGTTCACAATGAAAAAATAGCATTACATATAATATATAATAATAATAATAAAATACTAAGCTCATTTATATTGCATTGACCAGGCGGATAATAGCAAATACATGTACTCAAATTATTATCAATAATAATCATATTTTTACAAAAAGTATATATATTTTGTTGGCCTGGTAGCATGAGGTACCAAGGGGCGATGCCTATTGAGCAGTCTGGAAAAAATGAAAAAAACCAGGCTGCTCAGTCTTGTACCTCTAGCAACCAGGACAGCTTGTAGGTGGAAAACTTAATTTGTTGGCCTGACTACCTGGGGCACCAAAGGACGGTGCCTATTGAACAGTATGACAATATATAAATGGTGCCTGTTTTGTAGGGTAACATTTGAAATTGACACCCCAACGAAAACCATTGTCAACCGACGCGTCAGCGGAGGTTGACAATGGTTTTCAGAGGGGTGTCAATTTCAAATGTTACCCTACAAACAGGCACCATTTATTTTATTATACTGAATGTCTTATTGATTTAGGACGTCAGCAAAAAAAAAAACCGTCGATCGTCTTTACGTTCATGTATAGAAAGCTTTCACACTCACCGGTTCACTAATCTCCTTATTGTTTGTTTGATACTCGAATTAGAGTCATTTATCATATAAAGTTTCGTTATTTCTGGCTCGCAAGCATGTTTCCTAAACTCGCAAGCATGTATCGTCTGTCGTTTGTTGTTTTCAAGTAAGCTATATCGGACGCAAGCTTTTATTGACGTCAAGTTAATTCCGGTTCTTTCAAACGCGCAACTGACTGTTTGAGAATTCTACGGTGAACCGTACGTGCATAATTTCCATGCATGTGGCATTACCGTTGTGTTACCCGTTGTCACGTGTGTTGCTAAGGCTCAGGGTAATCGAACGGATTGTTAACTGCGTCTAAACCAATCAGATTTTAGTATTTAACATGAAAGTATACAGATTGTCAGTCTTGTACCCCAAGTAGCCAGGACAGCTTGGGGGTATAGAGGATCCTAGTATATAACTTAAAATGTAATGCATATATTTAAGGTACACTTCTTCAGAAATCAGATTCCATTGTTCTTAATCATTTTACAATTTTGAGTAAGAATTTCAACATTTTCATTGGTCATTAACCATATTATTATTGTTTGGTCATTGTCCATCTTATCAAAATTCTTACAATATTTTTCTATTATCTTATACAAAATAGCCTTTTCTTCCTTTACATGACTACATATGAATAAAAATGTTTTTCATCATCAACTAAATTGTTGTTACATCTCTGACAAAACCTTTCATGTCGAGCGATGTTTTGATATCGCCCCTTTTCAATTTGGAGTCTATGGGCTGATATTCGAAAGCGAATTAAATTTCTTCTATGTTCAAAGTTTTTAATTGATATTAAATAATTCTCAAAGCCAAAAGTTTGTTTAAAGATGCAGTAGTTTCTTAACTTTTTGTCAGAGTTAAGTCCGAGATGAAAACGCCATTTTTTAATCTAGTGTTTAAACAAACAGTTTCTAATGACAGCTTTAATTTTATATGTTTTTACTGATACAATTTACTGAAGACAATTATTTAATTCCCATGATATTAGAAATAAACAAGTTGATTGAGCCATACCATGAAGATATGTTTTGTTTAAAAAGTAAATTCGATTCATAGAATGCATTATGCAATAAAGTAAATGATTGGCCAAGATTTTCTAGTCTGTGCCAGTAACTTAGCATGCTTTTTAATATGTGCAAGGGAAACCTTCCCAATTCGGACAATACAGCAACATTTTTTGTGGATTTATGTACATATTGAATAGGGTTTCTTTCAAAACGAATTAAATGCCCACGGAACTATTTTTGATCACAAATGAGTGAAATTTTATCCCCACGAAAAAATCGTGCTTCTACAGTATATGTTTTTTTTCCCTAATTTTTGGAGGTCAATATGTGAGTGAAAAAAAGCATTTGTTTGAAATATAAATTGCTCCATGTTGTAGAATTGATTTGTTCAAAAGAAAAATTATTAACGTAAATCGAAACCAAAAGTTTTAATAAAATATAGTTTTGACCATTCTCTGATGCGAAGCATAATTACTGTGTTAAATTACTAAGGTCAATGTTCGACTTGATGAAATGTTCACCTGATCAAGCGTATTTTTCATTAAATTATAACTGATTATCATTATTATTGCAAACGACATTACATTTTTTTCTGTGTATTTACCCCTATAAATCCCTTCCTAAAACTCTGTAAGAAAAATTACCCTCCCGTTAGAATAAAATATTTTATTGTATAAAAACATGCATGAGACTTTCGTAAAGGAAGTGTTACGATGATTCGTCAAGGATTGTTTTATTTTATTTATCCATTATATTTCATATTTTCATTTTACCTCTAACAGCTGATGTCCTGTTTCACATCATTTCCGTATTTTCATGGAACCAATTTGCTGTTATCTATGACAAACGAGATCAATATAGGGATTTGGCGTTCGCAATTTCTAAATCGCAAAACGAGTCGTTGTATAGGATATTACAAACGTTTGAAGTCTCCAACAATATGGAGGAGCAAGAGTTGGAGCAAATTTTCACAGAATTGAAACGTAATTCTAGAGGTACGTTTTTTTCTCTTTAAAAATATTCTTTCTGGAATGATTTGATCACAATTTAAGATTTGTTTTAAATATGATTGATACCAAGGCACTGGATTACATTCTTCACCATAAAAGTGCTTGCTCAAAAACCTACTAACTATCACTTTTTTATCAAGACTTACTAGTACTGAAAGGAACATAGAACTCGATTCAGATTCTACTGTCTATTTTTACAAATACATACCGAGCCAAAGAAATAAGTTTGATTTATAGAGGATGATTTGACATAATTTCTTTCAAATACTTTGTAGGTATTCGTGTGTTTATATTAAAAATAAAATAATATTTGTATTTTCAAATAACACAGAGATAAATTCTAAAAATTAAAGTGCCAGCTTGCCTGAATATTTTTCATTTTGCAGTGATCGTCATGGCATTACCTTGGCTGGACATGCGGAAATACATGTTAGTTGCTCATAGACTAGGAATGACAAATGGAGAATTTGCTTTTCTTTGTATCCACAGTGAGGTCTGTATATTATTTCCATTAATTTTTCCCTTTTTTTTTAATTCAAGAAACTACATACTTATTAGACAATTGAGTGATTAGTGTTCATCCCAGCCAATTAGATTCCCTGCATGCATTTGATTTTTGTAAATCCAATCGTATATTTTAAATGTTTTACATACGAAAAATTTCAGTTATGAAACGTTTAAAGAGTGATTCAGGTCAAGAAACAGTAAAAGCTTCATTTAAAAATTTATGGTAGGGTTAGTCTTTTTCGTGGTTTAAAATTAGGTTCGTAGAAAGTACCACACAGCATTCATTCTTATACAATATTTTGACTTTGTCCGTGACAAAAAGCAAGCTACTCATGATCTCTGCATGTAGCATAATGTGCTTCGAATGTAAGCTGCTATTACCAAGTTCGATGCATGTAATTCGAAATAATTAAAGTTAATTATGGCCTTCAGAAATTATGAAATACTTTTATAGTTGCAGACATCAGTTTCTTTGATGTCAGACCAGTTTTCACTTACTATTAAATCTTAATTTAAGCTTTACACATATGACACTATGGAATCTGATGTGTTTTCTGACAAAGTTTGGCGAAGAAATGACTCCATTGACGATATAACAAGAGAAGCATTTGAACCAGTATTGCATGTGAGCAAAATAGGTCGTTTTAATATTCTATATTAATAGATTACATTGTATTATATATTAATCTACATGTAATTGGATCTAAGTCTTATAAAAGACACGTACGCGTATGTATTACGAAGATTTAATCATCATGACTCTATTAAAATACAATATTTTTTCAAACATGTAAGTTGAGATATTCTGATAGTATCATTATTTTTACAACAGTAAATAAAAAAACTATAGCTGTTTAAAGCCTTCAAATTATTAAATTGATTATTTCTTTAAAATTTCTGGTTTACATAATACGTTTTATTCTATTAAAGTATCTTTAATTTAAAGCATATCTTGCTTATTAAGAAAAAACCGAAATACTACTACAAAGAGAAGGAAAAATTTATATTTCAAGTAAATTTATACATGTATTTGAAATTGTTTGAGGTCTTGTAAGTTTCTAAGCTCTCAATTTTTTAAAGATTATGATGAAACCCTCGGAGAAATCGCCATGGACGCTTTTCAAAGCAGTTGCTTTTGAACATGGCAATCACGTTAATCCTAACTGGAATATACCCATTGAGCTAACTTTGGTAAGTTATCATTTAGAGGTACATACTGGCTGTATTTTTGATATTTCTATAAGATTGCATGTACAGTAAAATATACATACATACACTTTTAATTAATCATAGCTTACATGACTTAATTTGATATGATAACTAATATCCACACAAAAAAATTGATATGAAAAGGAATCAAACGTTACGTTACTGCTGGACAATTTTTATTTTACCTTCTCCGTCTCTTTGATTTTGTTTGAACATATTTTATTGTTTAGCTGTTACAACAAAAGGATTAGACACAAGTTCTTAAAACTTAAAACGTCCGTTTCTTTCAGATTTGTATTATAATTTAGATAAATGCAATGGCTTTACAAGTAATTGAAACTCCTTAAAAGTAACGAAACAAAAATGTTTGAAATAATTCATTTTATCTAGCCTGACGCCTACTCAGCTCACCTGTACGATGCGACTTTGCTGTGGGCAATGCTGACTGGTAAAATACTGAAAGAAAACAAAAATCCACTTGACGGGGAGCTTATGTCTAAGATGGCAACAAGATTGACAAATAATGGTATTTTAATTGAATTCTTCTTATAAGACTATTCTGTTTTCAATAATTTGGTAATTCTATTTTCCTTTACATGAATGAAAAAAGGTATTTGTTTTCATGCAATAATATTTTTTCATGTAAACAGAGGAGTTGGATGGTATGACTGGAAAAATTAACATAGATCATCAGGGAGATAGAAATCTGGACTTCCAAGTTCTAGACATGTCTGCAAATGGTACATTTAGCAAAATTATTTCTATTAATTACCTCAGGAAAGGGATGGTGGAACTTAAATTTGAGGTAACTACATAACGGAATATCGCACTACATTGTATCTCTTGACATATATTCCACTTTTAATGCCATTTAAAATTTATTTTCAACCATTTTACTATTATTATCTATTTCGCATTTTCTTCTTTCCGAAAATCGTTCTATCCATTATAATGTATCTTTCTATCAATTTTCATTTTTTATTATCTCTGGAATATCGTGAAACAAATCAGAATCACTATAACACTAACCCTAACCCTGACGTATTTTTAATGCAGTGGTATAGATGTAGCTTAATAAATACCATTTCTTGTATACTACTTCATGCAAGAATTCTTTAAAATGAAGGGTAACAAGACAACAGACCAAGTCAGTCGGTGGCCGAATGGAAAGGTGGGCATACAAAATGCACCTACTGATGAACCAAGATGTGGCTTTACTGGTGAAAAATGTCCAGTGGAGGAGAAACAACCAGGTAAGAATTTAATGTTGTTTTGTGCAATGTAGAAAATACATTTGTTCTATATATAAGTTTAATATTAACTTAGGTTAATATTGGATAACCTAGGAAACGCTTTTTTAGACAAATATGTATACAAATGCATATTTGATATTGTTTGCAAAACTGTATTAAAGATAACTAGCAATAAGATCTGTACTTTAAAAAAGCTATTTGTCTATATCAAAGGGAAATTAAAGAGTGCCAAAGAACATTTACGTTATAAAGATCAGCTATAACTTGTAAGCTGAAAATGTATTGAAACTATACAATGAATTGACAACGGATTTTTCCGTTATTTCCCGATCATCACAAGGAGCACACTCCGATGTGACCGCCCGGCATGGGATGCTCACTCCTCCATGGCACCTGATCCCACCTTTGATGTTTTGGAGGACCGTGTCTGCTGTGCCCCTATTTTGTATTCTTTTTTGGATTTTAGATCTTGAACACTGTTATTTATTTCAACATTATATTATTCAATACTATTTCATTATACAAATGTTGTAAAACATATAAGAGGTGAAAACTCAGTGAGAAAAAAAAACTGTCAATATTTTTTTTTCTATTCAGCATTTGATATAGGTGAATAACAGAATATACTCATCATTTTTGCTTCTTCCAGACAGAATTTACATTATAGTTCTATCCATACTTGGAGTTTTCCTTGTCATCAGCTTTATTTTCAACATATATTGCATTTTGAAGTAAGTTATATGTATTTTATACTTGAAGAGCTTCTCTTTAAATATCTTTTTTAATGTAGTGATGGAAAAAAGGCTTTAGCCATATCTTCTCAGTTTCTCGAATAATTCACCTGATTCAAAATTCGTCTTCTTTAAGAAAATTACGTTAATAGTTGGGTAGTAAAGATATGTCAATGAATTATGATGGGGATCCATGTCCGTGTACACCCAAAGATAAATGAAATGATAATATATAGCATATGGTTTTAGCAAACGCAAGATAACCCGTTAAAGTCTTTTTTCTGAAAAAGTGTAAATAAATTAGTAAGATATTTGGTTACCCGGCAAGTAATCAGTTTCTACCCTTTTTTTATTTTGTCTTTATTTACTGGGGGTAAAATTACTTCAGTGTATCTTTTCCTTAGGTTCTTCTGTGAATTTGAGTAAATTCTTCATTTGATTTATCTAGTCGCATTTTTTAAAAAATCCTTTATTTCTTTGCTTTTTATGCAAGTATATAATGTTTGCAATAAAACATTTTTTGTTCTTTTAATTTTAATGTTTATATTATTTTACAGAAACCGCGCGCAACCTGGATCATATGACTTAAACCCGCCAACAAGAGTTCGATATCAACATATGTCTTGAATGGAAACCCAAAATCCAGTCCCCTATAATGTAGAATCTGTGTTTTGTTGTTAAATGACTATAATACCATAAATTATTGTTTGTGGTTTTTTTACCTAAATATTTTAAAAGTAAAATATTTATAATTTAAAATTATTTTTATACTTAACAACAATACTTGCCTATTTCTTATTTTACATACAGTTTTTTAAAATAACTTACCCTTTTCTTACTATACTTTCGCTTTATTGCTTATGTTCAAAATATGAGTGCTTTTGAAACCAGATGGCCAGTAGCGCAAATTGTTAGTTTAACAGGAATGCAAAAGTTACGATACTAATTATAGTCCAATGTCTGCAATACTGATTCACATGGGACAAAATTTTGAACAATGTAAAGTAATTAAACAAATGGGGAAAAACCTTACAGGGCATTTAGAAATAAATATCATTTTTTCTACTATTTGCGTTATTTATTAAACATACATCCTAGCCCTCTTTGATCTGTGAATACTAGTTTACAAAGCCTTCTATCTCTTTTCCTTAACTAAATTAAGCTTCTTTTTTCATCTTTTTTACTACACATTACAACATAAACGGTAAAATACTAGTATTCGGCATTTCAGAAGTTTCACCAGATTTTACAATTTCTTAGTACATTGTAGTACAAAACGTAGCTTAAATATGCTTTCTTTTTCGATAGCAGTAACTTGAACATCGACAAACAACGGTAAGTACATGTATATTTAACAAGGACACCGCAAAGCCAAGTTTCTCCTTGCAGAGAACATCTCTATAAATCAAGGCAGCATTCGAACATCAATCCCGATGCAGATTTTGTTACATCCTTTCGCAAGGTTTTGTTTAACTCACTCACCCCAAAACACACACACATAAACGATTGCGTATAACTACTACATCCCCTCCAACTCCACTTCAAGAGGAAAATAAATGAGAGGCTATCCATGAAAACTGTTTGTTTCATAAGGAAGTCGGGGTATTGTCTTTAATTCTACTACGATAATTATTAAAGTGGCACAGTGACGCGCAAAGGGGAAAATTGACAAATGTAGAATTTTCGCATGACCTCTGTAAATTTTGTTCAATTCCCTAAAGTATTAGGTTTCAGAAAATTACAGGTTTCAGAACCTAAAAGTTAAATTTTTATGGGGAAAAATAAAAGTAAAAATAATTTCTGTCTGCCCAAGAACGAAAATATTGCAAAATACCCTGGTACTTCTTCCTCCCTATTATACGCGTGCGCAGAAAAATGTTGAATAAGTTTCCATAGTTACCATGGTCTCAGGTATCCACGAATGAATATAATGTAGACCAAAAAATTTGATGTAATCTTTTTAAAAAGTTGTTAGAACAGTCATACTTCTCACCTTTGCATGCTCCAGTTGAATTTTGTTTACAAGTTTGAGCTAAAAATAAGAGTAGCGTGACCTTGACATATACGAAACAACGGAACGAAACGGTAGATACAACCTTTGTTTTTCCGGCACTTATATTGTGCAGTCAATTCTTGCAGTTTAATTGTCATATCTTCGCTATATACTCATAATTTTCGTAAGTCTTTCTTGTATGCTACAGATATCTTAAAATTAAGATATGATTTTGACTCACTTTGCATTTAACATTATTCTCCATTGAATCACGAAAGTCATCAAAAAAAAATATTAGATCAGAGACATGTATGTGTAGTTGAAATGTACATTAGACTTAAGAATGAAATATTCATTTAGACCACATTAATGTGTCGTCTTTTGCAATTTAAACACTGTATATTGCAGAAAGTAGCGGATGAATGTAGTTTCTTAAGCTATTCAGGGCTGTTTCACAATCTCCCTAAGCCATATTTAAACTCCGTGATTTTAGTGATGGGGTAAAGTAGAAAAATTATTTTTTATTGTATATTCAAAAAGATTAATCTATATAAGCTACAAACAAATTTATAGTTAATTAAAGGCTAATTTTAATGCAGCGAAAGCACAAATCGTCTGTTTTCTATTTACAAATACACTCTGGCGCTAAATGGAAAAGCGTTAACGCAGCATTGTGAGTTTATTCGTTTCTCTATAGAAAAACAATCAGTCCTATTTTAGAGCTGCTAGTACGAGGGTCATTCAAAAAATACGTAGACAATGCTTCTCATCGTCATATGATTATTACAAGATTATAGATCAACACAATTTCGTAAACATAAACATTTATTTTGTCGAAGTGTGAAGTTTCATTCCATTTGATTAAACAGAACTCACGTTAGCCAAAATTAAAAGCAACATGTTTTGTTACCACGGAGCACGATTAACCAATATTGTAAATTCAAAAACAATGCTGAGAAAGTTTGTCAAAAGTATACACATTTTTATTACTTCAAACATGGTTTGTTGCGTCTTCTCCATTCAAAACACATATCCACAATACTTAACACTTGGTTTGCTAACAATTGTACAATTGTACAAATACAGCTTGAATTAGATTGTCAGTGTTTTCAAATTCTTTAATTTACCAAATGACTCTTTTAATTCTGCAACAGTGAAGCACATATCATGTTCAATGACGTTCCTAACTCTTTTGACAATATTTTTAACTTTAAACTGTTTCTTTGCATACAATCCATCGTCCGATTCAAACTCGCTACAACTCAAAAATTGTATTTTCAACTTAATACAAATACACAGATTTTTTTCATACAGATCCTGATTTATAAGGATTTTTTAAGCTTGTAAATAAGTTTCATTGTAAAGTCTAATTTTATTGCTACTTGCTTTTGAATTTAAACACATAGTTTTTGCCTTTTTTAATCAAGTCCATATTTATTAAGAGCTGATAGCTTTTAAATGGAACGAGATATTACATAACCTGATTTCATTTTAATTAATACAGCAATACTTTATTTAAACACGTAAATTAAATTAAATTTCGTTTCAGCTCCATTTATTAGAGTTATAACTGTAAATACTATAAAGTGAAAATTAGAAAATTACTCAATTTTGACGGTGCTCCATGACCCCATTTTTGCTGTTCTAAATCCTTAGTAATTTTAATAAATATGAGGATACATTCCAATTTTTTTACTCAAATTATTTGAATCTGTTGTTAAAATATTTGTACCAAATTTGGATATAATATGACGTTAAATTAAAAAGTTAGGACAAAAGTCTACGAACTTTTTGAATGACCCTCGTACATGTATTAGAATAGAAATAAAGTCCTTGTTGTCGTGAATGATGCAGAAAAACCTCCTCGGCTTTTATATTTCAAGCATCATTTATCGACCTCGGAGTTAATTCTGCAACATTCACGAAGGCGCGGACTTTCTTTTATAAATAAAATGATTTAATATAAATATATTGCATGTCATCAATGCAACATTTTAGATTGATTGATTGATTGGTTGTATATAGTTTTACGTCCTTTTTGAGAATTTTTCACAAATATGGATACGCCACCACTTGCCAGTCGAGAGCTGCAAATTTTATCGTTTGCTCGGCACTGAGGGCCGTTGAGCAGGGAGGAACTTTTTCTTGCCATCACCTTATGCGACATGGGACCTCGATTTATAGGTCTCTTCCGAAAGACCGGTCACCACGTCCCACAGTTGGATTCGAACATGCGACGCAAGGATTGACTCCTTATTTTGCGACTCTAGAGCAGACACTCTAACCACTGCGCCACGTGGGCGACAGTTTGGATAATAAGTTCATTAAACTCCTTCCATGGCAAAGATTTTAAGCATTTCTAGAAAAATTGATATTAATATTTCAATGCATTTTTTAAGCATTTCTTGTAGTTTTTGTTTATACCAATGTATATATATTCAGAAAGTAGGTATTGTGTAGTTTCTGAAAATGATTATAAAAATATTATTTCAGTAGCCATGTCAACGAAATACACCATAATTATACTGGTATTTCCAATTTTTTAAAGAATGAGTTTCATTTTTTTTAATGCTAAATTGAATATATCAAAAAATATTTTATTGTTGTATCGAAAGTTATGAGCATCTTGTACATATTTTTACAATCAATTTTAAGTTTTTTTTTTTTTTTTTTTTGGGGGGGGGGGGGGGGGGTGGGGTCGGCAGGTTATAACTAGAATTTAACATTTGTACATTCTAACGTGTTACATGAACCACGGTATTGATTTCGATAATGGCAAAATCGCTCAAATAGTGCGCAAAGTTTAGCACAAGATAGCAAAAAACTGATGCAACCAATAAGAGAAAATTTTATATATTATTTTATCGTAATTAATTTTTTTTCCGACGATGCAAGGTTTATTCTGATATTTGTAATATATAAACGAAGTTATGAATGTTTTTCACACTATACGCGTTTTTCAAGTCAGATGCGTAGAAATGCGTATATGCCATGTATGAATTTATTTAATATTTCTTGGAACCAGTTGATTTTATCTTTCAGACTTTACCATATGATCAAATTTGGTGTATGACAAAAAACTTTGAATGAGAGATGGTATGAATTAAGTTTTCAAAATTACTCCAAAGTGTATGTTCTGATGAATAAACTTTAACATATATTGTTTAAAATAATGTGTTTCTTTTTTTGTTCTTTTATTTTAAAAATCAACTAAAAAACACCATTAATTTTAACAAGAATAAGTTTTATGAAGCGCAAAAAAATTTATAGTCACCAAAATATTTGTTCGCCTATTATTTCCTGACAATGTTTTGTATTTAGGGAAAAGCTATGAAAAGAGAATTAAAGGTCAGGAAAATTAATGATATGAGGCAAGTGACTATTTACTTGGTTGAGAAATGGTATTTTGTATAAAAATACAAATATAATTTCAATTGTTTACTTGAAATGTGTTCATCTTATTTTTTCGATGTTATTAATTGAAAGAAAAAACACAGCTTAATCAGCGTTTAACCATAGATATATATTTCTTCTCTTAGTAAGATAGTATATAAGTGTTTAACCTTTGAGGATGACGTACGTATCTAGCCCATGTGTTTCGTGCTCTAACTTCATGCAATATTTATAGTTTGTTGAATATACAAATACTTGGTTCAACTCAATCGCCTTTCAGCATTTCGCATTTGCTATATATCAAACGTTCCAAATAAGCTCTTCAACATGTAGATCTTTTTCTTTTTTTTACTTAAGTTAAGTCACTCCTGAAATTTGTTATATCAAGGATTTTTTGAGAAGTATATTTTGGATAAGTACTCATAAAGTGTAACTCAAAATCGCAAGGAAAATAGGGGGTCAGTGTGCATCCCACTGATCTACGGTACATTTTAGTTTACCTTTTTGCACTTAAATTTCATCTCTTTGGTTAATTTCTTTAACCCTTATTATATTTGATTAAATTTAAGCATGGCAATAAATATAATCTTATTTAACGTAAAATAGTTTGAATAATATTTATTATTAAACAAATCTTGCAAATCAATGCGCGTAAATTATTGTGTGACCTTTTTGCACTTAAAAAATAACATATTTGGGGTATTAAAAACTTAATAAGGCAATAAAAAAAAATTCTTATTTCAAACATTTTACGACTTGAGTGCTGATCAGTCACAAGTATCGAGTAGTTTAAAATAATGAAAGAACAAAGTGGGGTCAGTGATGTGAATTTTGAAATATTTGTCAAAATATGTGATTTTCAGGCAAAAAATGGTGTAAATTTGACTTTGACTTCTTTAATATATTTTCATTTTTTGGAAAAGTTTGTTGAGGGAAGGTGTAAAACTTATTCTAAAAATATAAATTAAGACCTATGTTAAATATTTTTAGCAAATTAAGACCTATGTCAAATATTTTTAGCAATATCAAAACGGAAAATATTCTCCGAGTAAAAGTATGTGAGGCTAAATTTCCATTACATTAAATTTTATAAATGTGCAGATTTGCAGAATTTTCTGCTAAATATCCTTCCACCAAAAGAAATAGTCCCTCATAAATCTTGCTTCTTTGTAGATTTTTGAGCAGTTTTTTAATTGAATGTTAAAAAATTTACATTGTTGAATTTAAATATGTTATAAAAATTGAATTTTAATAAGAAGTTTTGAAGTAAAAGCTTCTGCGTGAACTTTTCTAAAAAGCTGACGAGTGACTTACCTTAATGGGCAGCGGACAATCAAATTATTCGTCAGAAATGTAAATTACCTTTCTGCATTGCACGTGATTAATGTCAACATAACTTTAAAACACACGTCTAAGCATGGCCTCAAAGTAGCTTTTAAAAAACTGAAAACATACTTTCTTTAAACTCTCCGGGATACTACAATGTGAAATGAATTTGATTATGTATGTATGTTTCTTTTCGTTTCCGCCAATGAACGAGAATTTCGGATCGCGTGGATGGCTCCGGAAAAAGAGCATTACGGACTCAGTGCAGGATCTAGCGTGAGCATATTAAGAGCAGCGTTGTCAGCAATACAGCTTCATCAACGGCTTAATGCAACGTTTTTGGCGGATCATAAAGTCTCGTAAGTCGGTTGGATTTTTTTTAACCAGTATAACTATAAAACTAGATAGCAATGGCTGTTATTATTAATCAATAAATATTCAAGGAATTATTATGATAGGTATGTTTCTTCTCTACACAATTTAGGTGATAAAAATATTACCACCGAAATATTGCTGACATACGACATAGCGCTAAGCAATTATCAATTTTTTGTAGTCAATTAAGTATCGTATTGCATCCATTTATCATTCTTAGAAAATGATTTAAGGAAAGTTAGGTTACAAATGTAAACATCTTTTTATATGCATGTTATATATGATAAAAAACATGAAAAACTGGTTATCCAGATAGAGAAGAGAATGCAACATTACATACGTTACCAATTCAGAGCATACTGTGGAATTTTTCATAAATAGACCAGCGTCTAAAAAAACAAAATAAAGGTCAATGTTATATTAGTTCACTCGGAATTTATTCGAAACGGTTTTAAAATACACATGAAACGCCCAAGCACCACTTTTTAAAGTATGGCCAAGAAAAAAAATTGAAAAGTATGTCAGTGTTCAAATTATCAGCAAAATGACAGAAAGACTGACGGACGGACGAATAGAGTTTAAACTACTAAGAATATGCCTTTTCATTATCTTTAATAATATGGGCAAGAAATAATTGTAATGTGCATTATTTATATAGAGAAAATTCAACACCACCAAAAGTTAATAATTATTTATGTGTATGTGGTGCGTATTGTCGTGGCATTATTCGTGGGTCGCCGCACAAATCAACACAACATTGTCAGACCCACTTCAGCATCAACAACAAATCAATCAATCATCAATCAAATTCAGCAAATATAAACAAATTGACTATCCCGGGTAATCCGCGGACGGTTACTTAGTTAATCTTTACTAATTTACATCAGGGACCGTATATAGGTCCCTGTTTACATACACAATCTGCAATAATAATTCAATAAAAGATGCTGTTTTTCTTCAATTTATCAAACCCAGTCACACAGCAATGCAGTTCCCATCAACACAACATTTTCACTCGATCAGTGTCAAGCATTAGTCAACAATTATTTCCCATTAATAGTACTTAGTTAACATATCAATTGACTTTAGTGTGCACCTATGCCACGACAATTTAGAACGGATCCTCCTAGATTTCCGCCAGTTCTTCGTATGAGGCCGTATAAACCGAGGTCCCGTGTCGCAGTAGGTGCTTGAACGAAAAGTTCCCTCACTGCTCAATGGCCTCCTGCGTCGAGCACAGGACAAAATATTGCAGCTCTCCATCGGCAAGCGGCGGCACCCCACATACTTGAAAAACTCGAGAGAAGGACGCTCAACAACATGCAATCAATCATGCAGTCAATCCAAGACTTCCGCATTGGTATCGTCTATCCAACGCTTTCTTGATGGTACCAGTTCATCCACATCAAAAAGGCTCTGATCATCTTCCTGCAAATTATAACAACACAGCAGTACCAATCGCCTTTACAAGTTATAATGATAATTCTTAAGCTTTTCTCAGCTGATCTTTTTATCTCAAGTGCATTTAGGAAGTACAACACATTTTTATCATTAAACTTTCAACACAGTTTGTGAAAACTTCTAACAAAATGGGATGGATGGGTGGGCAATTAACATTTCTTAAAAGCCAATCTGGCGTATTTTTAACAATCTAAACTTTTGATTAATCTGTGACCTCTTTCCTGTTCAGCAACTCCGGCATAAAAGGAAGCCAAACCCGATGTTAATTTTGAAGTCTGCATATCATACATCAAATCTGATTTCTTTTCTCATAAAATAAATGCATCTATTTTATATTTCAAATAGATGCTTTTATTTATATAGAGAAAATTCATCACCACAAAAAGTTATTTCTTTTTATTTGTATGTGGTGAGTATTGTTGTAGCATTATGCGTAGGTCGCCGCACGAATCAACACAACATTGGCAGACCCACTTCAGCATCAACAACAAATCAATCATCAAGCAAATTCAGCAAATTTAAACAAATTAACCACCCAGGGTAATCCGCGGTTGGTAACTTAGTAAATCTTTACTAATTTACATCATGGATCCATATACCAAGTATATAGGTCCCTGTTCACATATATAATCTGCAATAATTATTTAATACTAAATGCAGTTTTTCTCCAACTTATTAAACCAAGTCACACAGCAATGCAGTTCGCAGCAGCACAACATTTTCACTCGATCAGTGTCAACCATCAATCATTAATTATTTCTCATGAATAATAATTAGCTAACACATCAGTTGACTTTAGTGTGCGCATACGCCAAATGGCTGCAAAGGAGTAAATCTTTGTAGTCATACCACAAGGGAGCACCAAATCAACTGATCTACGACAATACTGAACTTCCCTACTTATTTCCTACTATATGGACTGATTCTAACTTTTTCCGGAAGTATACCCCCCTCATAAAAGGTGAATCCTTACCTAGTTACTCACTTACCCTGATGAACATACTTAATATTCAAGGACATTATACCTTGGCCAGGATCAGTTTTGCTGTCCGCAATCTGAATTATAACTGCAATGATCATCATTTTTGGGTGAAAAAGCAAAGTATACTACAAACCATGCATAATAAAAAGAACAAAACAAAAATAGTAATTAATGTTGATGAAGCAATATAAAGGTTAGATTCATATGTAATTATCTGTACTTAATGTAGGAGCGTTTGCACAATTTTTAATAGTCATGTTGTTAAAATTGTAAAAAAAAAAAAAAAAAAAAAAAAAAAAAAAAAAAATAGGTGGCCAACAAATTCCATTTTTTACTTGAATATACTGCATTGTCAACATAACCTTGCTACCTGTTCCCTATTACCTGAATTTATATACAGTAATACATGTATTTACATCATCCTCCTGTACCCTATATTTAGAGGATTTTGATTGAATAAATGAACCTGATCTTGTGACTGATTCTTAAGATTTTTTAACTTCCACTGAAAACTAATGGCAGTAACATACATTGTATGACTTATCTAATGAATATGAAGAGCATGAACATGATAAGAATGTAACTTATTGCACTATGTGACTTAAAAATGGTGGCCACATTTGTTCCTATCTAAAGAAGTAAAGAAACTTTTGCAATGATAGTACAACTCTTTTGTATTTGTGGACAAAGATGCCTCCAGAATCTTTCTACTCTAAGCCCATGATCATTCTCACAAATTCTTTGGTAAGCTATGTGGTGTCTCTTTTGTCCTTGGTGCCAGGTCCCTGAAATGCCTCTACAGTTTATGAACTTGCACCTGCTATTGAAAACACCTGGAATCTGCTTACCTTTAAAAAGAGCATTTCAAATCATAATTTAAACACATAATCTTAATAAATCCATGGTCCTTCTTGATTCGCATGTTTGACAATAACACTAACCACTGCAATGTTATCAATGTATATTAAAATGTTATACATGTATAACATTGAAATTTTGTAAGAACCGTAACCACATCTCCTAATCACTATTTATGCCTGTTGAAATTCAAATGAAGTGAGAAGGCCTAAGAATTGGATGCACCACTCGTTGCATCACAAATTCTCCTATTGCCATGCTTAATTTAGTTGCATTAGTACAGAAATTGAACAATCCAACAACGGATTGTAACTCATTTTTAACTTTTGGCTGTGAAACTTGCAAGACAATTATTTAGCAATGTATATTTCTAATTCTTAATATGTGATTCTTGTATGTTTTATCTTCAGCTAAGGAGGCACCAATATCACTCAGTGGCCCGACAATTTTTCCGTTTACAATAAGCCGTATAATGCATTATGTTTTTCTTTTCCCAGTAAAAATAAAGTCATCATCTAAATAGTGATTTAAAGTGTATAAAATCAGTTTGTTATTTTGTTAACCAATGAAAAATTGTTGTAAATTTATCCCATATTTTGCATCTTATTGCAGAGCCTTTGGTAACATTTTTCTTTGTAGTAAAACCCATTTATTGAGAACCCTAACAGATCATGATCACCAGTATGTTTAAGTATTAATTAGTCTAAACTAATCTAAAAGAGCCCCTTTTCCTGACACAGAAATAATGTCTACTAAGTTTTCAAATGACAAATATTTTTACTGTACACAGCTATAGATCAATGAAATCACTTAATATGCTGTTGATTCAGGGTATGAGAAATGAGCAATCATCCTCTGTATCTGCATGGATTTAGGAATTGTACAAACTGGTAACATGCGAAGACTTAATTGGAAAGGAATTGACCAATACTTTAATGTAATACCCTTAAAAAATATATGCCTCCTTTATAAATTGGGCTGTACTTCGACCTGGTTAATCTTTAAATATTTGATACTTGTTGTAAGGGACATCTTATGATTATATGGGTTGTCCATTGTTACATTTTTATGCAAATATACAATACCCACATGTCTGCCTGCTATAGAAGCCCCCATAGCCGAAGTCAAAACATTTCCTGATTTACTTGCTCCACTAAAGATTTTGTTTGCAATAGCAATGAGGTTTGTATGAACATCAATGTTTGATAATTGGTTGAAGCATCCTCACTAGCCGTCATCTGACTGGAAACAGGAAAAGAAGGATTTATGGACCTAGGATTGCTCTTTTTAGTAGCAGTACCAACCTTGATGTTGCATTCCACCTCTTGTTCGGGCATTTCTCATGCAATATATAAACTTGAAAAGTTAACAAATAAATGATTTTTCTTACCTTTTAATTCTGTATTAGTGACTTTCAAACAACTCTGACATGAACTAAATATATCAGGAATTGATACCTTTACATAACTTATCATTATGATTTATCATAACTTTCTTTTAATATTCTTAATAGAGAGCACATCGAGCTTATAGACATGCACAAATGGAGGAAATTCGGATTTAAATCTGCATATTGTTCAAAGGAATTTTTATCAACCATGTGAAAAACTTTGAACTGTTCGAAGAACTTTTTATAAATCATGTCATGATGTGAAAATTCTTAACATCCTTTGGGATGCATAG